CATCAGCCTTTCAGAACCCAAAACCCACTGTGCACCCTGATAGATGTACAAGATGGGGCCAGATTTTAATTATTCTGCATTACATTTTGTTTTAATTTGCACTATATTCAATCCAACCATATTAGTCCAGTCCCTTTCTTTCTCCTTTTCTCATCTCATCATTCTGTCTCTTCCTCTTGCAGTTATAAAGATTCCATTATAATCCTGAACAGACTTAGCTCTACAATGAAGTCCACTGGAGCATTTGACACTTGCAGCCACCTGGATGAGCAGCCACGTTGTTGATATGGCCCTGCTAGGGAATGGTAGGGCTTAAAGAGAGTTCAGTGAATTGGATCAAACAAGATTGATTAAAGAATCATGAAATCTAGCAAGCAATGAGTTAAATAAGTCTAGTCAGTAAACTTTATTGACTGCAAGCCTTGGCTAGGAAGCATGAGTCAGGTCATCAGTCTATCTAGGTCAGTATTGCCTACACTGCCTTGTAGGAACTATTTGCAGCCCTACCTAAAGATGCCAAGGATTGTGCCTGGGACCTCTTGTTTCCAGACTATATGCTTGCTTTAAGCCTTCATGTAAAGTGTTTCTTCTCTCATTGGACCTGCTTAGCTTCATCAGCCTCTTCTCTCACTTCGAGTCCTTTTAGCATTGCTGACCTCTGAATCTTAGCGGTGTTGCTCAGCTAAACTAGCCCACCTGTGTGCACACTACAAAAACTACTACTCCTCAAATGCATTCCTGAAGCCATGTAGCTTGGTGCCATCTTGAAATCAAGGCTTTTCCAGGGTTAAGAAGCCAGCCTCTTAATTCACAGTGCCAATGTTCAATTTTGCTTTCTGCCACCAAACTAGATTGCAGGCCAAGAAAAGAGTCTGGGTTAGTGCCCCACTGGGTCACCTCCCATTTGTTTTCCTCAATTTTGTGTTGTCATAAATTCATTCCAGCCCGTTGTGCTTGATCAGTTTATCTCTGTTGGGGCAGGGAGCCCTGCTAGCATGATATATGACATGAAACATTGTAGCCAGCCTCTCCATGAATCACTCCAGCTGTTTGTTGTCAGCATGAAAAGCAAACAGGCCAGGGCTGCCGAGTGTTGACTAGGATGAGCTCAGGATAGGGAGAGACATGACGTATGAATGTTTATTTAATAATTCTCTAATATTTCCAGTGGAGTGTGGCTATGCCTTCTGAGGTTGCGGGGGAAAAGGGGGGCGGTTGAAGGGGAAACTCTAATCTGTCAGGGTGGGTCATAAATCAGGCAGACAAGATCATTAATCAGGAATGGAGCAAAACTAGAGGGAGGTGGGATTCGGGCTGCCATTCCCAGGAGCAAAGGAGCATGCTCTTCTTTTCCATAAAACAAATCTCATTTGGGATGCAACTCCAACTATGGCACTTACATAAGAGCAAAGCCAGGGCACTGGGCCAGTTAAGCAAGCATGTGCACCACCTTTGTCATAAGCCTTGGCAATTTGAGCTTCTCAAGCATTAAATCCCTTTATAATTATCTTCTTTATGTAACTCTTCGTGCTCCTCATGGTTGATTGGGCAAGATGCTTGTTTAGTTTAGAAAAAGGATTTTAAAGGAGTGAGGTTTCTATGTGAGTATGTACTTGTGCACACACAGACACTTTTTTATTTTCTCAAGTCCTTTGCAAAGGTTAAAGGTAGCTGTATTCTAATTATCTGTGAAGTTGTGCAGTCTAGAACTTGTACTCTAGAATTTGGCTTTTTAAGCAAAAGAAATTTGCATAACTTTACATAAAAATCGAATCCTATTTCTTCTGTTTATGTATATGGAAACAACTAATGCTTGCAAGAGATCACTTCAATTCAGGTGCCTGTCTGCTTAGATGCAAATAGGCATCTCATGAACCAATAGTGGTCCCTGTTCATTCAGCAGAGAGTGTCAGCCTACACACTTCTCTCTATTAAATGATGCCAGAACTGTTCCAGGTGAAACAGATTATTGGTTTAATATGTAAATTCTGCTGGAAGCACAAAAACTAAAGGAAACACAATTGAAGGAGAAAAATAAATGTGTAGAGTCCCCAGCCTCCTTTTGAATTTTCCCATGGCCTAAACCGTGGATGCAACAAGTATGACCATGGTCTGCATAAAGCCCCTAAGTAATTTCTAGTGGCTTGCAGATCCCCCCCCCCCCCCCGCAACACTTCCAATCACTTGCTTATCTTCAATCTTTGGTAAGTGATTGGAGATGGAAGAGGGTCCAATCTCTTGTCTCTCCTCAAACAGAGATGTTAATTCAGCTGCTTCTGGATTGCTGATTCAACATAGCATGCTCTTAGCTAAAGCAGAGATCAGGTTGATGGGGAATGCAGATGGTCATAGCAGCCTTCTCCCTCCTGTTTCAAAACAGTTCCAAGTATTTCTGTTTATATCGGAAAGTCCCTGTTCCCTTCTTGAATATGTGGGCTGCTTTTGGCCAGAGTTTAACTGTTCAGCACTAGGTAAAACAACAATAAGCAATTCATAAATTTGTACATTCTCTCACACTAAAGATGTTTGAATGTATTATATGAGGGAGCATATATACACATATTGGTATCTTGTACATGGTTTAACTTCCTGTAAATTCAGGCAATTATTCACAATTTAAGAAAAAAAATATTATTGCCCAAATCAGGTTCAAAGATTTTGCTCCTGTTTCTTTTCATGATTTAAAAACTCTATTCAAAAATCTTTATTCATGTTCCAACCTGAATATTTTAACATAATACAGTACTACTGAACTGTAGGGCAGCTGGTATGAGAGGCTAAAAATTTTACCAAATCTTTTCTTGAGCTGTGGTCAGTAGATTCAACTACTTTGGGAGCACTTTCACTCCATACCCTGGGGTGGGTAGACAAACAGGTGATCACAAGAAATGATGCTATTTCCTTGACCAGTGCCCTGGCACTTGGTTATTAGTTCCTCATTTTTATTTAGGCATTAAGATAGAGAAATTGGGCTGACCTGGGTAGTGGTGCAAAAGTTACCTGTAGATCATAATTCTGAATTTGGTTTGGAAATCTATTGAGGTACTTCCCAACAGTAGATTCTTACACTTACCCATGGTGTCATAATATCCCCAAGGGCATCTTCCACAATTACTACAGATATATCTGTCGGGATATGGTAATCAGCTGTTGGAGTTTAGATTAGTATCACGGTCTGACTAGATGAGTAGTTTAAAGCAGTTAGGAAGAATACAGGCAGAGGTGCACAGGCACTAAAAATAGAATAGTGTGATGTTACTAGTGACAACATTCCTTAGCGCCCCCCCCAATATCCCAGGTCATTTTCTGGATTGAAGCTATGTTTTAATTTTATTTTATTGCTGCTAACTGAAGACTCCTCAGTTCTACCATGCAAGTGCAAGCATGTTCAGGAAGCCTTATTTAAGTACTGCCTAGTGAACCCTCTCTCCAACCCCACTACCCAGACATTCTGTGGGTCTTTTGGCGTTATTCAGGCAAATGAATCCCCTTTGAAAACAAGTTTAATTGCCAGAAAGGGCCCTACATTCTTAGCTCCTCTTCTCCAAACACATTGTGAACCCCTTTAAGGAAGCTGTCATTCAGGTATCTTTCTGTCCCTTTTCTCAGTTATTTCAAAGTTTCAGCAATACTGTTAACTTTAATTTGTAGAGTTGCTCCTTGCAAGTGAAAATCGATGGGGGGCTATCACAGTGTGAAATTCGACTGTCAATCTTGAGCTTATGGAGTGAGTAAGACATCTTAGAAGGGGGGAAAAATCACAGTCTGTGCAGTGCTCAGCTGGGCTATTTCAAAGAGAAGGAAAGGCTGATGGGCCGTTAGAGAGTATTTCAGTTAGATGGATGATGATTCTCTGTGAAATACTGGTGTTAGCCCACAGGTGAAGGAAGCCAAAGCTTAAAAATACAACTAATTCCCCCTGAAGATCTGAATTGCACTTTGGGAACTTGAGTTGTACCCATACAAGAATAAAACCTGACCTTAAAAGTTATTTCTCTAAGTAGTATCCAGTAACACATTCTTCATTTAAATGTGCAGTGTTTCAAACATTGCTCTTGCTCTTTGGAGCAAATATTTTTCCCATGAAACATAGAAAGGGTCTAGCAATAGCTGCTTCTGTATATGAATTGTGAGCGCTTTATATGACAGCTACATAAGAGTGTATGCTGAATTTTACATCTTAGGTTAGTCTCTGTTAGCTGCACTGGGGCTACTTCAAAGTGTCGGTGCTCTACATCCATTGCACACTATAAAGGAGTTGGATTAAACTAGCAAGTCAAGATTGAAAGTGCAGGGTATGTTGTGGCCTTGGCCTTTTTGAACAAACCATAATATAAGCCAACTACAGTTTGTTGAAAACCTATGATTGGATGAATCCAGATGCTTCCAGTCTCCTCATAGCCGTGCCAGTAGAAAAGTATGTAGGGGGAGCATATGTATACTTTGCTTGCTCACATACCTCTAAACTGTGTTTTAGTGTTGCTTCCAAACTCAGTCTAAATCACTAGGCTCAGCACAAATATGCCTGCAGTATCCCAGTTCAATTATGTATGTAGAGATCTTAAACAAAAAGGATAAGTGGTGGTTGGAGTCCTGTTGAGTCTTCCTCTTGTAGCACAGCTTTTTACTCTGATTTTCCTCTATTCCATATATCAGGGTAAGATTTTCTCTCTTACCCCTGCATAAAATGAGTGTAAAATGGCACTTTTTGAATTTTGGAGAAAATGTTTAGGATAAATGTAGGGGATGAAAATATGCTAAGATACTATTTTAGTAAAGTGGTGTTAATTTATTAGCAAATAAGGTCATGGAGGTAAACATGTTTATTTTCATACTTGGCTTCTCATGTTTAAGTCTGCTGCAGTTGCCAGCATAATTGTTACTTCAAGTATTGTTATATTTTTACTATGTTTTTGCCTTGAATGGATCAAATGTTGTAAACTGTCCTGAGACGTTGTCGTAAAGGACGGCGTATAAATGTTTTAAACAAATAAATAAATGTCACACCATATGATAGTTTAGCATAACAGCAGCCTCAGCACAGCTGCAAGGAGGACTTCAAAAATGGTTGCTTCAATTTTTGCTTTACCATAGCTTGTCACATTGTTCAAAGAAACAAGCTCTGATTAATCTTAGCTGTACTTCATTTGAATGAAGCCAACTTGGGAGACACACCAGCTAGTGTATCAAACATGTTAGTACCTTCAATATCATTGATGACGAGTAGCACAAGTTCTCATCACCACCACCCCATTTTTGTATTATTTTATCCATTTTGGTTTGGAGTGCTTAACCTCAGACCCATGGGCCAAACTGAGCCTTCAAGTTCTAAGTTGGCCCTCTAGGTTAGCTCAGAGGGCCATGTTCCCTTCACCTGGCCTCTCTGCTTCACTTGGCCCATCCTGTTTTACCCAGCTGCTCACTGTTTGTTTTCACATATTTTGTATGTTCTTTTCTCAATTCCAGAAGGTTGAAACTGCTCTCCTAAGGTTTTGTTACAGGCTGTGAGGACTTTAAGATATTATATGTGGGTATTTCGGTCTTCCTCTGTGTCTTTGGCTCTACTCACGACTAGAATGCATTCTTTGAGTGCTTCCCTAAAATTGAATTCAGCCCTGAAACTGATCATACCTCTCATGTAGATTAACTGTTTTAGAGGCTCAGTATGCCCCTGCTGCAGAAGTTCATATAATGTTTTCTTATTTTTGTAGTGATGAACACTAGCAATGCTGGCCTCTCTCCCTACTGTATCAATGCCCTCGGATTTTGTGTATTATATTAATATATAGTAGTATATTTAATACTGTAAAGTATCTCCAGTAACACAGAACATGTCTCACCTACTTCTCAGAAAGGATTGAGTGAAGAACATGAGTAAGGCTTTCAGGTGAACTAAAGGATGCTCTACAATCCACAAGTGAGGATAGGCTCTTCTCAACAACTGCTTGCCAAATTTGGTGTTAGCTGTTTCCCAGCTATCATGTAGAGGTGCATAACTGCTCAAATTATGATTTAGAATGTTAGTACATACTCAATCTTTTTTCACCCTCCTTCTAAAATAAAGTATTTCCCAGTGGCTAATAGATATCCACATCCCTGCAGATAATTCTAATCATACTGACTTGGAGTCTTCTTACTGTTTTCATTGATTGTTGGTGCCATCTGTCTGCAGTTTGATCGGGACTGGGATGTGAGTCCCGGAGGCAGAGAAGGCTGGATGCCAACTTTTGAACTGGCTCTCTGCTTCTGCAGAGACATTCTTGGGCTCCATGTCAGCAGAGGGAAGGGGCGTGAAAGCAGCATAATGAATTCTTCTGTAGGAAAATTCGCTGGGGAATCTTTACCAGGTCCTAGTTAAATGCAGCTTAGAATGCTTTCTTATGACAGTAAGCTTTCCTTCCATGCCACTGTGATAGAGCATGCAAGTGTAAGAAAAATAATTCCTTTGTGGTTAGAGCTGCACAACACTTTTGCTTTGCATGAAGATTAAATTAGTCAACAGATAACTCCAAACTTGGCAAGCAGCTGGTTGCATTAACAAGTTGTGCAAGCAAGTATAAAATAGAGGCACTAGCGACACAGAGGGCCTCTGCTTTGCAGATACGCACCCTTGCATGTAACCTCTTCCAAATTTTCAGCTGAGAACATGGAAATTAGGTGATGGAACACTGCATTATTCATAACTTGGCAACCAGGAGCTAGGGCATGTTGCCAGAATAAGCCACCCACTCTAATTACAGGTGAACTGAGTTCTTAATATATTTTGCTACAAAAACCGAACATTAATCAAGATGGGAGAATATTCTTCCTAGAGAACGATCTGTTGGAATCCTTGCCAGTTCCTCAAAAGAAGCAGCATTCCTTCACAGAATTCCAAGTCAGCCTTTTTCACAGAGGCTGGTCTACAAAAATGCACAGAGGAAGACTTTTCTACATCTGGAGCAGAAAAGCCAGGTCCTGCATTAGAAACAAGTAATCAGGGCTTTTTGTCATCCTATGTCAAGTCTGTATTACTAGAACTCTGCCAATTCTGGGTCCCCTGTGCCAGCCATTTTATGCAGTGTGACTGGAGCTGTCCCCATGCTATTTTTTCTGCCATTTAATAGCATAGATTATGATCTTCCTTGCCAAGTTTCTGGATAGTCCCTTTCTGAGACTAGTCAGTTTGACACCAGCCTCTGTTTCCAAAACCTCTTTCAGTTCCAAGTCACTTAAAAATTGGTCACATACTTCTGTATTCTCTGATCCTGGACAGAACTAGCATGCCAGAAAGGTAAGGAAGCATTCTCTTTCATATCCTTGTTAGATTGCTTTTAAGTCTCCTTCCTAACATGAAACTAATGAGTAGCTAGCTGTCTTTGAGAGCAGAGATGAATATCTACTGGTTAGACTGGCTGGTGGTAATGTTTCAGTAAGTGGCACAGGTTGCTCAAACCATCTGAGTTGTATATGCCTTGTATTGCTGCTGCCTGAAGTGCAACAACAGTCCTTCTGTATTCTGAGAATTAACCAATTGTACTTGTTGTGGAAGATCATCGAAAAATTCAAATTTGTGTTGGCTGGTAGGGATCAGCTAGTGTAAACATGAGAGCCTTCATCTTGTGGCCAGACAACTTCAGCATTGGCTGCACTGTCTGCCAGATGTAGGGATGATAGGATGAAAGTCTCCTTTTTCGTATCTTGCTGCTACCAGTTCTTGGTGCTGCAAGCATTTTCATGCCTTGATCGCCAATATTTGAGAATTGTTCATCCTCTTGCATCAAAGCCAGTGTTGTCATTATATTTTATTTCAGTTTTGTCTTTCATTGTTCTGAAACTAATCTTCACATATTTTCTGTGCATACTCGGGTTTCTTACATAATTGTAAACTCAAACTTTGCATGTTCTTGCTAGTAAATACTGGATATGTGTAATTCCATCCATATATACACCAATACATTTTATGTGGTATGCCAGAAAATGAGTGGAGTCCTTGAAATGAATGGGAGCATGAAACAGCTGGCTTCAGGATCTGTAAAATAGACTGGCAGGTTCTCTGTGAGGGGAAAGGGGAGCAATCACATGTCTTTGGTAATAGATGCAAAAGCAGCTTCCAGGCAATACTCCAGATAGCAATGATGCTGTAAGTGGGAAAAGAATCACATTTTCCCAGTAACAAGATATTGCACTTTTAATGCTGAGTACATGTGCATCAAAAGTGTTTGAAATAATTACCCATCCCATAGAACAAATGGCATGCAGAGAAGGAGAGCAGGTATTTCACAAATATTGCTAATCAATTGGTGCATTAGAGGTAAATGTGGGGTTGATGGGGGAGGATTGGAAACTCAGAAAGTGAAAAGAGCCAGTGTGGTGTAGTGGTTAAGAGCATGGGACTGGGACTCAGACGACCTGGGCCATTGAGCCAACTGGGTGACTTTGGGCCAGTCACAGTCTTGCAGCCCAACCTACCTCACAGAGTTGTTGTGGGGATAAGATGGAGGAGGAGGAGGATGTAAGCTGCCTTGAGCCCTTTGTAGGAAAAAGGCAAGATACAGATCCAAAAATAATAAATAAATAAATAAAATCTATTCCCTAGCCACTGTAAGCTCTGGGCAGAGCTATAGTTTTAAGGTGTTTGACAGATGATGGGACTGGTCACTTGACACACAAGCCAAGCATGAGTTTTTTTTAACTTACAAGAAGATGTGGTATGTGTGGCTGCCATTTTGTATATGCAGCTTCTACTTAGAGTTAGTCATGTAGTATGAACTTGGAAAGCATGAGTTATGTGAGGATTAAACAACCATGGTCTCTGTTAGTGTTGTTTAAACTTTGCATAGGCCATGCTTGCAGGGTTCACATAACAGAACCCCCAAGCAGGATTTGTGTATGCAACTTGATGCCTACAGCATATTATCTGAAGACATTCTGCCTTGATATGTTATTACCGAAAGAAAAATGTGAGGGCTAGAAACTTAGTTTTTACCATTTAAATTTGAAGACAGTTTCATAATAACTGCTGTGAACTACCAAGAGAGCTTCAGCTATTGGGCAACATAGAAATATAATAAAAATTCCTCATAATATTGAATGTGTTATTTCGGAATATTAATACAAAACAAAAGTGGATTTAGAAATTGTATACATACAGCTTTACAATGGAATTACAGATGTGAGAATGTTCACTGGATTCAGCACACCCTTTCCCGCACCTTCATACTGATGTAGAACATTCTGGTTGAAGTGACCCCTGGTAATATAGCTCTGTACTGCTATTATTTTACTGTTACTATTACTTGTATCTTGAGAAACCATAAAGCAACCAGTAGAATGTTTAAATATCACAGTGCTTGGTGTGAACGAACTAAAGTAGGAATGGGACAGTTTCAGTCAAAAAAATGTGAAATGTTTTACTTAGCAAATAAGAACCACAGAAAAAAACAGTGGCTTTGGTACTGAGGCAAGATGTAGTACAGGTAGTAAGGGGTTGTAATTCAAAGGCTGGACAAGTCATATTTGTTATAGTCACAGCCAACCCTTTGGTTTTCAAGTTAGTTTACATAAGCCTCCTCTCCTTTTCAACCTTTTCCTCACAGCAACAGCCTTGTGAGGTAGGTTGGGCTGAGAATGTGTGATTGGCCCAAAGTCATCCAGTTGGCTCCATGGCTAAATGAAGACTAGAACCCACCTCTCTTCCCAGATCATACCAGTCAGAATTCCCAAAATACCTTTCAACATAACAGCCCTTCAAGTTCTAACAGGTATTGAATAAGACAAAATAAAAAACTTCAGTGCAAGCATTTGAGAGGAAATTAATAACACACCAAAACAAGACATGCTGATAATCATAGTATTTCCACTGCCAAAACAATACCAGCATCTGAATGTGGTAGTAACCATAAACAGTCAATTTAAAAAATCAGAGCAAAATTGAAAATGATCACTAACAGAAGCATTGTGTTAAAATACAACTTAAATAACATTATTGAGGAATTTAAAAGCAGATTTGCATTACTGAACTCAACTGATCATGAACCAGAAGAACCATGAACAGAAACCAGAGCTGTTACTGGGAAAGAATGCAAAAAGACCATTCCTGCAGAAAGCTGGGGGGGGGGTGGAATCATAGATGGATGACAGATGACGCATAATTGCAATGGTTAGGCCGGAAGCAGAAGGTGACAGAAATAAATGCAATTTTTCAGCAACTATCATATTGTGACAAAAAAAAAAAAAAAACTATTTCCATGATCAGTGCAAAGAAATAGAAGAGACCAATACAAGAGGAAAAACGAGATGTCTTCTAGAAATCAAAAGGAAATTTCAAACCTAGATTTGGAATCCTAAAAGACAAATAAGGGAACATAAATATCTGTCCAGAATAAAAAAGAAGAATATTCCAAAGAACTATACAGAAGAGTTTAATGAATGACAGACTTCAAAGCAGAATCCTGTGATGAAGAACCTGCCATATTAGAAAGTAAAGTGAAAGCTGCTCTGAAAGCACCTGGAAGAGATAGGATACCAATAGAATTATTCCAAACTGTAGAAAATGAATCAGTCCAAATCATAATGAAATATATCAACAAATACAGAAAACAATGATGTCCCATAGACTGGAAATGTTCAATATTTCAATATACATTCAAGTCCCCAAGAAGGGAGATGCAAAAGAGTGTATCAACCATAGGACCATTGCATTAATCTCCCACACAAGCAATTTGGCACTCAAAGAATACTAGCTATTTGGAGCAAGAAAGGCCGCACATCCAAGCTGTATTCTGAAAAGGAAGAGGCACTAGTGATCATTCCCCAGAGAGGTCTGCATGGCGCCATCGTTATTAGTTTTTTGGCACCAGGCTAAGACCTTTTTATTTAAAACTTATTTTAATTGCTTAATTATTGTATTTATTAGGATTTTAAAATTTTTAGCCAAGAATGCACCCGGGGGTTTTAAATGTTGTTGTTTTTTCTTCTTTTAATTATTATATTATTAATATTTATGTATGTTTTATGTATTCTTTGTGAGCCGCCCCAAGGCTTTGTTGTGATGGGGGCAGCATAGAAATGTTATAAATAAATAAATAAATAAATAAATAAATAAATAAATAAATAAATAAATCGTGAGTATATGTTGGCTACTGGAGTGCACCAAAGAATTTTAGAAAAAGAGTAGTCTTTTTTATAGATGACAGCAAAGCCTTTAACTGTGTGGAACATGAGAAACCCTGGATGAACCTAAAACAAATGGAGTGTACAGAACATTTTGGAGTACTTTCATTCAAAGGGACAACATAAGTCAGAGATGACTTGATGGCACATAACAAAAGTGTATAGCAGGGGTCCAGGCCGCAGGCCAGAAAGATGGTGCCGGCAGTGTGCATGGGCTGGTGAGGGGTCTGGCGAGGTGAGGTGTGGGCGTGGCAAGGGGAGGGGGAAGAGCAAGCGGGCGCACATGCGACAAGGGGAGGCGCAGCAAGGGGGGCCACACACCGCAAGGCGGGTACACAAAGCAGCAGCTTGCTCAGTTGGAGATTGTTTTCTCCGAGTGAGCAAACCGCTGCCTCCCCACACGCAGGGCGAGGTGGGTGATGGCGGGCATGTGCGGCGGGTCCAAATGGGCATGGCGGGCCGGATCTGGCCCCCAGGCCATAGTTTGAAGACCCATGGTGTATAGGCATGGAACCTTGACAATGAAGAAAGGAGGAAGATCAGTGTGTTCAAACCATGGTGCTAGAGGAGAGCTTTACAAATACCCTGGACCAATAGAAAGGCAAACAAGTGTATTCTAGGGCAAATTACACCAGAGAGAAGCAAATAGGACAAAACTGAAGCTGTTGTACTTTAGGTGTATCATAAGAAGGCAAGACTCACAAAAGAAGACAACAATTCTAGGGAAAGTTTAAGTTAGAAGGAAGACCAACTGAGACATAACAGTTCCTTAATGGAAGCTACAGCCTTGAGTTTCCAGGAACTGAGTGGGACTGTGAAGGACAGGATATTTTGGAGGATATTCATTCACAGGGTCTCCATAAATTGGAGAAAACTTGACAGCATGAAGCAAATATTATTACAATTTTGTATGCATATTTCCACATAATTTTGCTGTTCTTTTGTATTGGATTGCATGTTCACTGATTTTTATCTCGCTGGATTATGCCTCTGTTATTCTGAAAATTACAACCCCCCCCAAAAAATAATTTCCTGAATTTCATTGTAAACAAAATGTTCTTTTCAGGGCCTGTGGGCATGCACAAAGAAAGTTCCTGGGATCATATACATTAATGATTAGAGAGGGCATGTCCTTTCTGGTGGGGAAAGAACAAGAGCTGGTGGGTTCCTTGAAAGAAACTCTGAATTTGGCTGAATTCTCAGATACATGAACACCAAAACAAATGACTGTGTGAAAAAAGAAACATTCTAGGAGATCTAGTGTTAGAAATAGCCCATGAAATTTTATTGGTGGTGCATATAATCAGTTCTAAATGCATTTTACAAGGTACATATAAACAGTAGGGCTGTAAAATTTATGGAATGTTATGTACAGCATGACTAGTTTATGAAGAGGAAGGATATGTGTATTCTGCTGAAATAAACAAACTGGGAGGGAAAATGGATTTTGAGATCATTCTGGGGAATAAATCCCTCATGCAAAACTGGGGAAGAAAGTATCCTACTGAAATTGTATTGTCAACCCTTTATGCACTGTATCCACACAAGACCCTTGTTGAGTGAGGTCACTGAAAATGTTTAGGAGTAGCAAAGTCCTGCATTTTTGGCGCTCTTGTGTTTTTTCTAGCAGCACAGGGACAGGTTGGTGTTCTGTGTTAGGCTTAAGCAGAAGTGGACATTCCTTATCTCCAGGCTTAGCCCATGATCTTGCCTTGGTAGGTTTTTTGTATTTCAATCTAACTTTCTTTCTCTTGTGTAACAAGAGTCACATAGGCTAAAACATGCGTGTATTTATTTTGATAAGTTTGTTTCATTTCCATTTCAGTGGCCTGTTTTTCTTGGCATATTGAGATGGGAATAATCTAGAAGACTGATTTTCCTATACCACTTCTCTTGCCTACTATAAGGATAAAATATTTCCAACCTTCAAGATAAAAAAGAACAGGTGGTAGCAAAACTTCTAATAGTTTTATGATCATGAATCCAGTAGGAACAAAGGGTTAATCTTTTTTCTAAAACAACTTCTTTGACCACCATTATAGCACAGTTGTAAAATAGAAAAATATTAAGAACAATTGCCCTAGCCCATCAAATCCTGATGTAATCTACCATATTGCTAAGGCCCAGCTGAATCTTCCACATACTGGAAGTATGAAGGAATTCAGGTGTGCTGGCTCAGCTGGAGAAGAGGTTGTACTTGTTCAGGCTTGCTTCATGCCCCCCCCCCACTTAATAAATGTATATTTAACAATGTCTGGAGCATATGAAGTGATAATAACTAAATCAATATCTCCTTCATTGATTGTCCAGAATCCCTGCAGCGTGACGCATGCAGCAATACAGTAATTTTCCAGCTAACTAGCACCCTGATCTACAGCCCTGCTATTGATTGACCATTGTATCAGGCAGGCACTGAGTGTTGTTGCTTATGCCTCTATTCAGCCTCCTTTCCTGATTCATTCATTTATTACTGGACAGGAGCGATCATCTGAGAGACTTTCCAAAATTGGCTAGTGAGAGTAGCCTGTTTGACTTCTTTTGGACAAACCATTTTCTATCATTGCCTGCCTCTTTTCCCAAACTTCGAATTCTGTTTGTTGGCCGTGCTCTTTACTATGTTTGGAGATACTGTATAGCTCACCTGCTACCAGTTGTTCTGTATCAGGCATCAAGGGTTACATCAATGCAGAATGTAATTGGTTCCAACACAGTCAGTTTCTGGGATAGCTGGGCTATGTTGCTTCATTCATGCTGGCCCTTTTCGTTGTTAATAGATATCTGAATTCTGTGCAAGGCTTACCCTTTCTTATCCTAGTCTGCTGCTAGTAGTTTACAACAATTTGCATTGCAAATAAAAAGAATAATGGAATCTGCAGTAAAATGCTGTAATACTTTACTGCTTCTTTTCAGGGTGCTAGTGAGCAAGTTATGCCTAGTTCCGCGTATCTATTTCACCACCATCCCTACTCATGGTTCCTGTATTTTTCCAAACAGTCAGCACTCTGCGTTCAGTGAGTTTGCTCAGACTTCATTAGACTGTTCTTGAGGTTTCCCATCTCTAGACTTTTTCCCCAAATATTTTACATAATTATGCAGGCCTATTGCTACCCACCCTGTTTTTGTGGACCATGCTATATAGGCTACATAGAGATTTAAACTTCAGTAGTAAGTTCCTTTTGATAATAATAACCCTTTTGATGGCAAAAGAAGAAGGAGGGGACGGCAGAGAATGAGGTGGCTAGATGGAGTCACTGAAGCAGTTGGCGTGAGCTTAAGTGGACTCCAGGGGATGGTGGAGGACAGGAAGGCCTGGAGGAATGTTGTACATGGGGTCGCAATGGGTCAGGCACGACTTCGTGACTAGCAACAACAACAAATTTCCTTTATTTATTTATTTAAAACATTTCTATGCCACCCCCATCGCAATAAAGCCTCGGGGTGGCTCACAAAGGATACATAAATGCATAAATAATAACAATGTAACAATTTTTAAAAATTGTTTAAAAACCCTCAGTGCATTCTCGGCAAAAATTTAAAATCCTATTAATCCAAATAATTTAACAGGTAAAATAAGTTTTAAATAAAAAAGTCTTAGCCTGGCGCCGAAAAACAAATAACGATGGCGCCAGGCAGACCTCTCTGGGGAGCGCATTCCATAGATGGGGCGCCACTGCAGAAAAAGCCCTCCTCCGGATACTCACCCTCCTAATATCATTCACAGAGGGTTCCCGGAGAAGGGCATCTGTTGCTGATCTCAAGGGGCGGGAGGGCATACATGGGCGCAAGCGTTCCTTTAGATATCCAGGTCCCAAGCTGTTTAGGGCTTTATAGTTCATAAACAACACCTTGAATTGGGCCCGGACTTCAATCGGGGGCCAGTGGAGCTGATGGAGAACTGGGGTTATATGAGAACAACGCCCGGTCCCTGTCAGCAACCTGGCAGCTCTATTCTGCACCAGCTGAAGTATCCGGACCGTCTTCAAGGGTAGCCCCACGTAGAGCACGTTACAGAAATCTAATCTAATTATATAATGGATGCACAACCTGTGGGCTGCATATGCAGCCTTGAGGCCTATTGTGGGCTGCCCTGATCATCTGTTGCTGCTGAACCCTCTTCCATCCATGCGTATGCTAAATCAAAGTCACTGCTTTCACCCCAATAATGATGGTAAAGTAGCATTGTTCCTAATGAGAGTTACTGGGGGAGGGACCCTCACAACCCCAAAGCAGCATGAATGGTTACTTCTGAAAACAGTATTTCCAGTCAGTATCATTCCATCACTGACTCTGAGGCAATCTTCCCCTCTGTGCCCCAGTGACCTTATATAGGATTGTGAGGTTGCAGATGAGGTTAAAATCTACACACAGAAACACACCTCATCTACCTTTCATAAGATTGCTGGGATGAGGGGGATATTGAAGGGCCCCTCCCCCAAGCTGTTTGTTTGTATGGAGCATGTGCAGCCCATGCTCCATAGCAACACCAGTTGCAGCCCTAAGTGCCAAGAAGTTGTATATCTCTGGTATAAACAATATGGATCCTGTTAAGCATAAAAGTTGTGCTGGATCAGACTAGAGGTTCATCTAGTTCAGGCTTTTGTTCACATAATGGTCAATTACCTGCAGGATCCCACAAGTAGGACACGAGTACAAGAGCAGCCTCTCAGATAAGTTCCCCAGCAACTGGTGTACAAAGGCATGTTGCTTCTGATACCAGAAGTAGCATACAGCCAGCAGTATTAGTAGCCACTGATGATATACTTCTCCATTAATTTGTCCAATCTCTATTAAAGCCATTCAAATTGATGGTCATAGAGCCTTGTTTTCTGTTGGAGTATGTACCTAGTGAAGTATCCAAAGTACTGCCCTTAGTCGTCCTTAGCATAAAGGATGTAGATGACACTTTCATACAAGGCAGAAAGTGTCCTGAGACAATAGAAGAAATTGTTTCTAAACTCTATATCGTCTTTTGAAATTCTTATGTAGCATTCCTCTGTTAACAAGGCAGTAAATATTTTGAGTAGAAAAAAATGAGCTATTTTACTAAAGAAACTAAGATTATTATGTACATTGTCGTGCCAATTTCCTGAAATTGATAGATTTGAATTTCACGGAATTTAGTATTTTTGAATGTGAGTTAGAGTAGTGAAGATGACCATAGAGAAGTACCCCTCTGTGTCCTGCAAAAAACCCCTGGTTTTACTGTGGATTCTGCTTGCTCTCCTGATCTGTGAGAAGTTTGTGGTTACTGATGGATTAGTTAATATATATTGGCTTTTCGTTCCATCCACTGTCAGAATGTTGCACAGATTTTAACCTGAATAGCCAAGTTATTTTAACTTCCCTTTCTGAATGTAACTACTGGGTCCTTCTCTCTTCTCCCCTTCTCCCCACTCCCTTCAGGATACTATACAGTGATGACTTACTAGTTCATGAGCTTATGCAATTTGTTCCTTATTTCTTACCCTTTAGTTTTAAACCATACTGGAGGTTTCGTTGCTACAGCTAATTCTCAAGCTTGCAGACTGTGCTTATTTGGCTTTTTGACTCTCTGTTTATTTCCTCGTTTGGGCAGTGAAGACGCACCATGCTACCATGTACTTTTGCCTACTATACTTGGCACATAATGAAATCAGTGAAATGTTTCTAAGAACTCACCCAGCCCTGACTTTGTCATCTATTTTAGGATTACAGAAGACTCGGCAGTGACAACATTTGAGGCGCTAAAGGCTCGAGTCCGTGAATTAGAAAGGCAGCTTTCCCGTGGGGATCGCTATAAATGTCTCATTTGCATGGTGAGTAGCTTGCCAGTTGTGATCATGAATAAGGAAATTATTTTGTACCTTCATCTTATCTATAGCAAAGTAGCACAACTGCTACTTAATGTGGTGAAACTGTAGCCTTTTTCTTTGTCTCTGAGGAAATAGCACAACTTTCTTTTGCTCTAGAGTCCATTTCAATGTGTGGTGCTGTCGTATAGTTTTAATTGACAATCGCTCAGCTGTGTTGTTTTTAATAAACTATCCTGCAGATCTCTTTTTCCTCTCTCCCTGGCACCTACTGTAAGGCAAGTATGGGTGGAAGGTAGATCTGTGACTACTCTGTGGTTGATGGGCAAGTATTTCTGACTTCAGGTTGTTTAACAGTAGTGACAACAAAATGAAGTAAGAAAAAAATTGATGAAAGTATATGCACTTGCATGCATGCATGTACAAGTACACAGATCTCTGAAATGAAGAACTCTTGGGAAGACCAGAAGTAGGTTCTGTGTAGACGCATGATCAATGTTCAGTTCTGATACTGCAAACAAATTCCTGAGTTTCACCTTCTTTAATTCTAAGTGTATGTCTTTTGCATTAGGCCTCATTTGGTCCATCAGGATTTTAGTAAAATAAAGAAGATCCCACAAGCCAAAATCTTCCTATTCCTGCTGTAAGGAGTGGAAAAAAACTTGTTCTAAGGCTCAGCGTAAACCTTAAGTACAGGTCATCTGCCAACTATTTCAGAGTTGTCCATTCTGCCTGCCTATTGTGGTTCATTTATTGAAATGCTGAAGCTCCCCCTAGTGGCTTGGTGTCTGCAAATGTTCACATCTCTTTTTAGGACTTGTACAGACAATTTTCCAACACTTGTAGCCCTTTAATCATGGTGGGGAGCTAGCATCTTGCCCTGCTTCCTCCCCCCAGGTGTTATCTTCAGTTTAGGAAAGTTTCCTTTTCTCAGCAGAGTGTAATTATACTTCTAAGGAACGTTCTAGCTCTCCACTCACCCACTGCTAATACTGGCATGACTATCAGGTCCATATTAGGCACTACCCACACATTTCATTTATACACTTCTGAACTACCATTAGACTATTTGATTCTTTTTCTTTGGTCCTTGAAAGGATTAGTTTTTCCCTCCATTGCATTGCTGCTGACACTGTGAGTGTACTGTGTATCAGTGCTAGGTTGCCTTGCAGATCCTTTTGAAATAACATGAGGGATATTAGTATATTTTAAATAGGTAGGTTTTGTTTAAAAAATAATGAAAAACTTCCTTTCCTTGCCTTTTTTAATACTTCACTTTGCCCTCACCATTTTTAGTGTACAAAAAGGCCTTTCCTCCTGCATCAGCCTCTCGCTTCTTCCTTTCCCCCTTATGCCAAATATTACATTTCTTCCATTGTCACACTGTTGCTTCAAGGTTCAGGCTAGCGTTAAGGGGGAAATGGCTTCCATCACTAAAGAAAAAAACACCATAGCCTGGACAAATGCTTAGATGCTTGTTAGCCAACTTGCTGAGTGCTAGGAAGAAAACTGGAACCACAGAGTAAGAGACTTGGGTATACCTTGTTTGTCACTCCAGTAAAATAATATAAGAGTTTACTAGCAGTAGTTGTCAACATGAGGCTTGAATCATCTTGATATAAATCATTCTAATCAAGAAAATGGGTTGTACTGTTTCTGGCAACATCTGCCATCTGACTTTATCTGGTTGTTCACAGCTGTTGGTAAGGGAGTTCAGATTTTGTTAATTCCTTTCCATCTACATTTCACAGATTATCAGGAGTCTTTATTTCTGTTTTCTGTCACTGATAAAGTTGGGAGTGATTTTTATACAAGAACTTCATTCCCCTCATGCTAATGCACATTAGCACTAATTCAGATTCACATTAATGCAAATGTAAACCCTCACCCCTCCCATTTTAAAAGGGCCTGCAAGTCTATTCAGAAAAGGTCGGCCTCCTGCAGAATCCACAGATTCATAGAAATCCAAACTTATTTAAATCCATTGGACATTTTTTCAGCATTTAGCTCTAGGACTAGAAAGTGCTGACAGTAACAGTTCCTTGGGCCTCTATCTACAAGTAAATACAACACGCTAAATTACTTTCTTTGGCACTGCACTAGTTTCCATTTCATGCCCTGCCCATTATGTTAGGAACTACAGAAGTGCTGCATGGGAATTGGAGGTAATGAAAATAAACTGTATAGATTGCTAGCTCTCTTCAGTTCTGCCCCCTGCACTTTCAGTCCAATGGGGTGTGTGTAATGGTACTGTTTCCACTTCCTTTTCACAGGATTCATACACGATGCCCTTGACATCCATCCAGTGCTGGCATGTGCACTGTGAGGAATGCTGGCTGAGGACACTGGTAAGGGTCTTCATTTTTTGGGTGGTGCTACATGCATAGTTTTGTCTTGTTTTCTCTGATTAAAGTCACTCTTGCTTTGCATTGTTCCCTAAGATAGAGTTTGTCATTTATTTTAAGGGGGCATATGGCTCCCTCCACCTTCCCATATCACACATCCTGACTAATCTTCACTGCCTGAGAGCTGGTTGAAGAGCCAGTCAGCCTTATTTCCCAAAGCACAGGTTGAGTGAGAGCCAAGGAGTTTTATAAACTGGGCAACATCTAGACTATAGCACATTGGTATTCATTGTACACCCATGCTTTGTTGGCCCATCTCTTTCTGGTGTTTTGTAGAGGTTAGTTTAAGTTGGCTTAACAAGCTGTTCTCTACTGGTGGCTACTTAGCAGGGCAGATTTTGCCTCCCACTTAAAAATAGCAGTTGCAATTAAATATCTTCATAAACATCCTAAATCTACACTTACAGTCTCATAAAAAAGAAGTTATCTACCAATCAAACGTGGCCATTAATCTCTGTTTTTAATCTCATGTTAATGGCTCTGATCAGCCTATTAGCTTTTTCTTCTTGAAACATGAACATATATATGAAGACAGAGGCTGGATAGAATTATTGTTCTGTACTTTGGTGGTGGTTCGCTTCGGTCAAGCAAGGCATCAAAATTAGATACAACAGAAAAAGTGCAATTCTGTATATGTTTAGATAGCTGGGATATGCTGTGTGTTATAAATAGATAAAAGTGAGTTTAAAAGTCATGCCTTAATTTTGTAATAGATTTTACAAAATTAATTGAATTTATTCCTCTCAGTAACTGTAAATTTTTGCCTTGATTCATGGACACTTTGCTTTTGGAGCAACACTGGAAAGAAATAGAGAAAAAAATGACCAGTGTGCATATTCTTAGATTATATTCTCACACTAATTCTAAGGTTGGAATCCTAGATCCACTTACCTGAGAATAGACCTTACTGAATTCAATAGAACCTGTTTCTGAGGCAATATGTAAAGGATGGTGCTGCTAACATCAAACTGTCATGCATGCTGGTTATAAGAAAGACACTGTATAGGAATACTGGAAAGGCATGTTCTCTACAGGTAAAAAGGAAAAGCATGAAAAACACAAAGAGTGAGTCAAAGAGATGCAAAGCCTACTCTGTAAGAATTAAACAGTGTGGATGATACTGTATTTAGTGGTACCTCATCATAGTTTAGTAATCAGATAAACACTATTGGTCATAAATATATGAAAAAGTACCAGTGGAAAACAGGATCTCAGTCGTTTGTAAAAAGTTAACATTTGTTCTTGTTGATTTAAGTCACTGATTGCTTTGATTCAACCCAACTTACCCTGCTATTTAGCTTGCATTTTAGAAGGAAAAGAATGGTCTTCCAAGAGTGTGATAGATGACATAATATTGGGTGGGATAGCCAAAAACAAATGTTAACAAATGGTGGAATGCTGGGCTGAAAACAACAGAATGTAATTTAGCAGAACCAAATGCAAAATTCCGCACCTAGGAAAAATAATATACTTGGCTCAGAAATAATACAAGTGAGAAAGATCTTGGAATTGTTGTAGATCACAGTCTGCATATAAGTCAACAAGATGCTGTGGCTGCAAAAAAAGGCAAATGCTACTTAGGGTTGCATTAATGGAAATATCACTTCCAAATCATACAAATAACTAGTTCAGCTCTACTCAACATTGGTCAGGCCTCCTCTGAGCTATTGCATGCAGTTATGGGCACCACAGTTTAAGAAAGATGCAGACAAACTAAGGTTCAGAGTAGGGCAGCAAAGATCATTCGTCTAGCCCTATTTAAGCTTTGAGAAGTTGTGATAGGGTCACAACAGAGGAGGACCAGGATCCCTTCCCAGAATGTAGTATGTAGAATAATGGGCTCAGGTTTCAGGAAGTCATTTCAGCTGAACATCAGGAAAAAAAACTTCCTGACTGTTAAAGTGACATGACAATGAAGCCAATTATCTAGGGAAGTCATGGGCTCTCCCACCTGGAGGCATAAAAGTTGCAGCTGGAGAGCCATCTGTTAGGGATGCTGCAACTTAGAAGGCTTGCATTGGAGAGTGGAGGTTGGACCCAGTGGCCTTCTTGGCACCTTCCAACTCTTAGACATCTTAATCATCTGAAAACAATCTAATGAGTATAATTGCATCAACTCACAAGTATAATGAAACCCTTTTCAACACATTTGTCATCCAAATGTTCTCTGTTTTTCAGAAGTTAACATAGATGATTGGCATCAGTATGGAAATGCAGTGGCCCTGTTTGCCTGGAATTATCTTGGTTTGCTGTGAACAAGTTGTTTGGTCATGCATGCCAGCAGTTCACTCATACATATATAAGCCAGGATTCTTTTTTCTTTGAATAACCTAACACACACAAAAAACCCAAACTGAAAACAACATCAGTCATCAGAAACATCGGACCTACTGGGGCAGCCCCCCACATTATTTCTTTTTATGTTAAATTATAAACATGTTTAAATCTATGCGAAGCCCCGTTTCTCTAGCCAATAATACAAAAAGTCCCAGGTTTGATAGAATATAAGCCAGGATTCTTAAACCAAGAACAATTCATGGATTACAATACTGGCTTGTGAACTTCATAAATCCAGGGTCCCAGGTTAGATGCCATGATAAACATTTCCTACATGGGTTAGCAAAAAAAGCCAAGCAGAAGCAATAAACCAGGATCCTTCGAAATCTTACACTTTACTGTCCCTTGTAAATGATAAAAAGACAAACCTCTGAAGTAGTGCAAAGCAATGTTTGTTTAAGAATCCTGACATATTTCAGCCCTCTGTTCTTCCTCAGCGGAGAAAAAGATAAAGAAAGGCAGATCTGCTCTGAACATAAAACTCTAAAATGAGTTTAAATGCCCAGAGGTCTTAGTAAGGTGCCAGCCCAGGGGACCTACTGAAGGACAGTCTGTGATATCCTTAAATAAGCAAGCAGAAATCAGTGTTTCTGTAACAGTTTTTGCCCCAGAGATGGGTGTACCAGAATTTCTCTAAGTACAGGTGTGCTATTCCCCTTAATGGCATAATGGAATGCAAGCTTTTAAAATACTTACTGCATTTTTTAAAAAATCCCATAGCTGTTCTATATTCAAAGCAAATAGTGGTTTAAAGTTAGAACATCCTTTCTGAGAACTATGTATTTAAAACAAGTAATGCCCCCAAAAGATAGAAGAAACAAACACAAAATTGTGATTTCCCCATCCACTGACATATGGTGAAATTGTTGTTTACCTTCGACTCATCCCAAAAACAGAAGAGCAAAACACACTGTTCTCCATTTAAAACTCAACCGTCGCTGCAAGTTTTTAAAAACTGCTGTCTGTGTTGAATAAATGTAATGTTTGACACACTGCTCAGCATTAATGTACCTTCCCTGTACACAGTGTTCCTGTCATAATATTGTAATAGATGTGGTTTTTCTATGGGAAAAGCTAGTAATTAATTAATTAGAACATGTTCTATCATCCTTCATTAAATTAGATTCCAGTTCAGTATATAATAAGATAATAATATCCATGTCATAACCTATCATATCCTAAGATGATAAAGTATATGTCTGTAGTGCGGCTTTCATGGACCCTGAGTGTTGCATTATCCAAGAAAAGCACATAACTATATTCTTGTGGGACACTAGGAGTGTTCACATGCAATGATAATCCAGGATTCATGGCTTAATAAGATACAGTGTGTTGTCTGCCAGTGCATGCAAGCTGTTCACTTCTCCCTTGATATGAACAAGTTAGGAAACCAAGAAATAAAGATCTTCATGTTATAATAGAATCTAAGATTATGGTTAAGTGTACCCAGAGACATGAGGATCATGAGACAGCAATTTAAAGCAGAGGTATAATCCTGGCTTGTTTGGGTACACATAACCATAATCTTGGGTTTGGGCATCTCACAAAGCTTTCTTTTTCCTGGGCTGTTTAGCAAAGTGAAACAGGACAAGCAATCAGGAATCAGCTTGCTTGTTCACTCCTGCACAAAATCTCCCATAGTTTGTCAACCAAAAGTTGTTTAGTCAAATGCATCAGGTCAACATGTCTCTTTTCCAGGAAAAACAAAGGATCAGAAACTATACTAGAGATGCACATTTATGTTAATGTTCCATGAATCTGGAGACACAGGATTGCCTACCTGTATCTTCTAAAAGTAATATCAAATGCAGCCTTGTTGTTGTTTTTTTAAATGCGGCAACAACTATTTGCAGAGGGGAGTGCATTCAAGTTGATGTCCCACGAAGCTCTAAATCTTCTGTTTGGTCAGTGCAGGGAATGTACAGATTTGGAAATTGTGGAGGGGAAGCAATTAATAAGCGGCCACTCATCTGGTCCCCAGCCCTCGCTTTCTCTCTACAGCCTGCAATTTATTAAAGCAGGGCCTTTTGCAAGGCAGGCACTGTTCCCTCTCTCACTTAAAAAAAAATATATCTCAGCCTACGTTCGCATGTTTCTAATGTAACCATTAAAATGTAGCCTGAAGACACCAATAAAAACCCTGGAACGCCTTAGTGCTTTTGTGTCTTGATCAAAGTCAATGTGTGTAATCTCGTTAAGGCTGCCCTTCCCTCCCCCTCCTCTTCTTTATGAATTTAATGGCATGCGGCAGCTGGGCTGGGTGTTTCATACTGACCAACCTGCATTGTTCTAATTAAGGCATCTTTTATTTTGGGCACAAAAGAGATGCTTGTGTGTGCATGTTGCTTTTTTTAATCTAGTGAGGAACTGTGGAAAAATGGATTTAATAACTGCCACAAGTTACCTTCTCCCGGATGCAATGCTGGTTTCCCTCTTAGTGAAGAAAGCCCAAAGAGACCTGTGTGTGTAGCACACATGGAAAAATGTGCTCTGCAAAGTGGGCAGCATATTTCTTGTGTTGTGCAATAAACAATTTGTTGCACTTAATGGGAGTTATGGGCAGGAGGCTGGCTCACTGGGCTTTCTTCCTGTCATGTTTGAACATT